ATCGGGTGAGATCGACCAACGAATCTCTTCTTCATGCACTTTCATACGAAATGAAGGTCCCTCTAACACTTTAATATTACTCTATGTAATTAATCGAACTCCTACTTCTCTTCATATATACATCGTCAAAGTAGACAGTATCTTGAGATCAACGAGCTAAGATGCAGTTGAAGATATGGAGATTAAGATGGTGTGGCTTTTTGTGTGGTCGCAGTCTTATTTCGCTGTATAGAAGTTGTTTGATCTTGTTTCCGCAACTCGGTCATATTGGTAGGAAGACTTAGAGGAACGCACCTTGTCCAGGGACGTTTCGCTGGCATCGTGGTCGGCATCGTCAGTGAGTGACATTCGTAGCAGCATATTACAACTGGTGAAAGAGACAAGTGAAGCCGATCCTTTGACCAAACGTTTGCTAAACAGTTATGATATCTCCCCTTCTGCCCTGGCCTATTCACATTTCCTATATCCTCCTATCACGCCTTCACTATCACAATTTTTCCTTGCTTATTTAAATGTTGTGTGGTGTGCCCTTTTGAGTGGCTTTCATGAGGACACTCCACACTAGCGTTCTCGTCCCCCCTTCACTCTTGTGCCGGTAATGTTAATTAGAATCTGTCATATTGTTACGCAATCCTCTTTCCCTAGGTCTTATCAAAATCCCCTTCTAGCCTAGTATGATCCGTCTGCTCTCTCCCTTGTTCGAGTATTTCACTCGACCACGGTCAGCAAACTAGCCCTGATCTTCGCCGCGTCTATCCTGTTTATATCCCTAGAACCAGGTTTATGACTTGGTATGCCCTAGTCTCTTGTGTGCCAACCCACAAACGTTGTGGATCAACATTGAACCCAAACAAAGCAAGCAGTACAACAACCTTTTTAGGTTGGCACACAAGAGATTAGAGCATAGGAAGTCACATACTTCGTATTAGAGATAGAAACAGGATAGACGCGGCGTAGACTGGAGCTAGTCGGATGACAGTAGGTTTTACCAGAGACATGATCCATGTAGCAAGAACTTGACAATGAGACTTGTTCAGAGGCTTTAGCCTCGAAATAGTCACCCAGACGCAGGGGAGGGCGAATAACGCGTCGAGTAGCACAGATGGGGTTGCAGGGGTCAATTGAAATACTTGAAGAAGGGAGCTGGCAGACTGATTCTACGGAATAAGAGGGAGACTTTGATCAGGTCTAGGGACAGAGGACTGCGTAACAATATGGCAGACTGATCAACATTCCCAGCACAAGAGTGAAGAGAGTGGAATGCCAGCGTGGAGTGTGGAGGGTTCTCATGAAAGCAGCTCAAAAGGGCACACCACAC